ATATTTTATTTTATTTAGTTATGTTATATATACTTTTTTATAAATTTGTATAAATTGGTAATATATTAATATTTATTACACTTTTATTAATTATTGAATAATATTTTAAAATAAAAAATTAAACACAAGTAATTAAAACTAAAATCACATATATTAAGGTGAAGAAAGTAAAACTATAATTAATCATATACAGAAAGGAGTAACATCTTGATTTTATCGTTTAAATATAAGTAAATAAAAAAATGCAGGGTACTTTTAGATAGAGAAGTGGACTAACTGTGCATAATAATTAATATAAGTCTTTCAAAATGGGCCATGCCCCAAAGAATCTTCTGCTTAGCTTACTCAAAATTAATATAAGCTGAGTTTGAAAAATTAGAACCTGATTTAGTTTATCCCAATTTCAATCCGGCGCTAACTTGCAATAAGTCAGGTCAACCCGTTCATTTGATTATATTTTAAAAGTAATTTAATTTATTATGTTAATTAAAAATAATTATATTTATTATTTTTAATAATTGATTTAAATAAGATTGAACTTTAAATTTGAGTGAAGCAATTTGAAAATAACATACAATTTAGAAACTTGATTATTTTTTAAAACATAAAATAGTTAGCCAACCCTAGTTGTAGACTTGGTAAAAAGAAAAGAACGGAGTAGCATCAAAATAACATAAAATATATTGCCTGTTGTCTTATAGACAACAAGTTGAGGTAGGTAAAGAGAAGATTTGATCAAAGTAGATTTTGACATTGAAATAAATAATATATAATACAAATAATATAACAAACTTTTAGATAGGAGTTGAAACATATTAGTGTGAGTATGTTTGTCCTAAAATGGGTTTTCGATTGAGAGTTTCCTAAAATGGTTTAACATGTTTTTTTAGAGAAAATCTTTTATTTAAAATTTGAAACTAATATATATCACTATATTATTTTTTAAAAATATTTTAGTCACAAAATTAATCTTTAAATATTTAAATCTTTATATTAGTTCTTTAAATATTTTATAAATTCCTAAAAAATAAACTAATACATTAATTTAAAAAATATTGAAAACTTTGTCAAATCATTTTTTTATAAAAGACTAAAGATTTGCTTATTTTAATCTTAAAATTTTCATTCACAAGTACAAAAATAACTTTTTACATAAATTAAAAATAATTTTTTATTTTAATTTTTTAACTTGTATAGACATCTAATAAGTTGCTATATTTTATATTAATTTTTAATTTATGTAAAAAATTATTTTTATATCAATTCTAAATGCAACTAATATTATATATATATATATATAATTTTCTACATTAATTGTAATTTAAGTGATTTAAAAATTTACTTTTTACATCGGTTATGTCACAACTGATATAGGAAATATAGATTATGCATCCGTTCTTTATATTACTAATGTAGAAAATTTATAAAATGTTTGTCAATCCACCCATTTTTTTGTCTTCAAGTTAAATAATTTTAAGACCGCTAACAACCGTGTAAAATTAGTATACTCTAGATATAAAGAAAAATTCTTAAAAATATGTTCTCTCTCAAAAGACTCTTCCTTTATATCACGGATCAAATCTTCTAGTTGATCTTTCATGTCTACATCAGCTTTGATTGTTTGGGACAAGGTGAGCATATATGCTAATTTGCCATGCTACATCTATGTCTTATAATTCTTGCAAAATCTATAACAAAGTACATGTTCTTTTATATCTTTAATTCTCAATTGCCTTTAATTCAAACACTTCACATAAACACAATAAAATTTTCCTTTGTTATTAGGCACATTTCTTTTAACAAATTCCAAAAACTCTTCCACCACATTCTTATACTTCTCATTTATACAGCTAACATTTATCTAACTACGATCCATATTTATAAAAATAGGACAATTGAATGGTGGTCACCTAAGAACATTTCATAACTTATCATTTTCCTCTCATTAGGTATGAACCTATCCCATTTAAGAAAAAACATTTATATTAAACAATTATAAATAATTTTTAGAATCTCGTATATAATACAAAATAAAATTTTGGCATCATTTCATATTAGTCTCTAAATACATAACTTGAAAGTAATGTGATATACTACCAACAATTGTGCAGCCAAAGACAATGCAAAATTTAAAGAATTGAAATTTTATTAAGTATATTATTCAAGAATCATAAAATAATTTATAATATTTAATAAAAAAATTTGTTTCTAAACTTTTTAATTTGGACATTCAATACAATAAGATGAATAAAGTATATTATTAAATCTTGAACGAGAAACTAAGGTTTCACTCACTAATGAAAAGAAGTGTTTTTAAGCTAGGTAGTTATTATCATCAACAAGATTGACAATGTGTATTTAAAAGGTAAAAAATTGATGTCAAAATCTTTAAAAATAAAGGAAAACTTTGCTCATATTAGTGACATTCTCATATTTTAAACAAGATTGACAATAAGACAAGGTTACGACAAATATTCTATAGCTAGGGCGAGAGAAAAATGAAAATACTAGAGTGTTCTATGTACAGGATTCAAGAAAAGTAATAGTTTGAAAGTAGTAAAGTGCAATAATAAACCCTTTCTACATCGATTATATAGTATAATTAATGTGAAAAATACGATCTATAAATGATGTAGAAAGTCTCCTAACAAAAAAAAAAACTATTATTTTTTACATAATTACTTTCAAAATTAATGTAAAAAAATATTTTCTACATCAATTATTTAGTACAATAGATATAAAAAATATTTTCTAAAAGTTTTAAAAAAAATTATCTCATTTTTCACATTAATTCTCTCTTAACCAATGTAAAAAGTACTTATTATATTAGTTGTGTATATAACTAATGTAATAAGTATTTTTTATATCGGTTAATATAAAAATATAAATTAAAAATATGTTACTATTTTTTTTATTTTTTTTACATCAATTTTTTCTTAAACAATATAAATTTTTGTTATAGAAAATTATTTTTGTACTAGTGATTGAATTGTAATAATTTTTGTTTTGTTTTAGGATAACATAACTCCAAAATATCATAACTATGTTTTTCTATTACAGACAAACATGCTCAAAGTGAAGTGGTAAATTATATGTTACGACTTTAAGAAAAGTCAAAATTCATTTGGAACAATAAAAAACACTTCAAAACTAAATAGCATAAGAATACATAAAAGAAAAGAAAAATTTATACTTTAATATTTTTTTTTATCAACAAATGAGTTTTAAAGTCAAAAACTAATTCAATCTAACTATTTTAGGATGATAAATTTCTTGGTAATCATTTTTAAAAGAGAGATCAAAGATGGAGGAGGAGATTGTACACAACCCATCCTAACTCAATATCATGATCCATTCTAACTAAGTGATCCACACAAATGTTCCCTTTTCTAAAAGTGTGTTTTTAAGAAATTCCTTGTAAAATGTTTATTTCTATCTTGAGTACTCTAGTAATGATAAAATAATGACAAGTACCATTTACATGGGAATGAATCAAATCAAGAACTAATGTTGAATTAATTTAAATAATGCACTTATTTCTTTTAATAATCTTGATAATTTGAATATCAGACCAAATTTTTCATAGTTCAGTTAACAAAATAACATCAAAGATTAGTATCTAATATTTACTTAAAAGGTTATAAGAAATATCCTTGTATTATCACAAGCTAGACCTCTAGCAGGTGAACCAAAAAATTTATAAATTGATTCATCCATATTAATCTTCACACTTTGGTTAGGAGGAAAATTTAAGCCAATAAATTGTTTTGCATACCCATCCGTTAGGTCTATCCTAAAACAATAAAAAATCGAGAATTAAATTAAATCAACATAACTGTTCGAGTGGTCACACAACGATGATTTCAAAATAGTTTTGTTATTAAAAACTAAATTACATCTGTCTTTCCATAAGAACCAAAAACAAATAGGGAATTTACCTATACACGTTAGATCATCAAAGAAACAGAGGAGTAATTAGCCCAAGCCCAATCTGACTTACATTGGACTGCTCATTTAGTTCTAGCTTATATCTGTTGACCAAAAAGCACAGCCTTATTTTGTGATATGTCACTGTCCCATGTGCTTTGAGATGTAATTTTGAAAATAAACAGTATACAAACTGTAATTTCTTTCTACACATCCTCTCTCCTGTTTGAAAATATAATTTTGGAGAAGAGTTTATATTTTTTTTAAAATTATTTTTAAAAATGATTTATATATTATTTTTAAATTAAAATTTTAAATTAAAAATTGAAAATAATTTATAAATTACTTTCAAAATATAATTTTCAAAAATAAAAAAAACATCTAAAGAGCATTAATAGAAAAAAAGTGAGATTGGGAAAATAAATTTCTATATAAAAAAACTCTTTTGTAGTTGTTAACACTCTCTTTAGCGCAATGAACTCATTTCTGACTCAATAGTTTATGCAACGAAAATTATTTTGAACCTTAACCCACAGGCAATACAGAATTCACCTAGCCATAAAACTAGTGTCCAGTGAAATAAGTTTCTTAATGTAAAAGTGAGAAACATAAATTCATACAGTACAATCATCATAATATTTTTTTTTTTAGAAAAATCTCAAAATTACTTAAAATTTTTATATAATTCTATAATTTATATATCTTAATTATGACTATTCATAATTATATCAGTAAACACATTACAATTTTACATAAATATTCACATTATAATTTGACACATATTATATAATAATTTGATATTACATTTTTGTTTAATTTAAAAATAATTTTTTATAATTTTACATTTTATTTAATATATTTCTAAATATATTTTTATAATAGAATTTATATAATTTTTAACATGTATTTAAGATCACATAGATAAAGATAAATATAAAAATATAAATACCTACCTAATATGAGTATAAAAATTAAAATTATCACCCACAAAATAAATAAAAGAAACAATTTAAAATGTAAATATAAGAAAAAAAATACAACAGTAATACCCTGTCTAAACCCTTGACCGGTTGACCCCCTAACTCCTAGTCTCGTTTTGCAATTTCTTCCCGAATTTATGAAAGCCCTAATTCCCTAAACTATCAACCTGTCCAAGAGCCGTAATCCTAATTCGCAATTCGTGTTCGTCGCATTTGGAACCAACGGTGATCGTTGTGGTCACAGCTCCTTGTACGCAGAGTCGTGGTTTTCAGTTTCGTTCGCAATTCCCTGTGTGACAAACCCTCATCTCCGTTTACGCAAGGTAACTATTCTCTCATTCTCACTGAAGCTTTCTGCGATTTCGAATCTTTTACTTTGATCTGTGATTTCAATTACTACCCTTCCTTGAACCCACCGTAGCTTCACTCATTGGAACTCATGTGCGACCACTCCACTAACGGGTTCTGGCTATCTTTCACATCTTCAACTTTCAATTCTTTCGATCTCTCATTCCATACCGATCCACTATACTTGTGTTGTGTGTTACGTGTTAATTTGTTGGGCTACAGATGCAGTGAGTGAAAATTTTCATAAGATCTTACGTGTTAATTTGTTTGGCTGTGGTACATATTGTATAACCACTAGAAAAGGGTCATTTTTTTTTTCTGCGGGTTCCCTGTTGGGTGCTTTTGTGACATGAGAATCTGAATTAAAGTATTAGAAGTTGCTGCTATTGATAGTAAAGTTTGTCAAGTCTTTACCACTTTTAACTGACGATCTGGTTAACTGAGATTCATTGATTTTGTGATGCCATATATCAAGATTCATACTTCTTTCCCACTTTCGTTTAGAGAAGTCTTAATGTAACAAGACTCTGAAGATGGTAATCTGAACTGATATAGTTTAGATGCGATGAATGGAGTTGTTTATCTTTTTATGTTGGTTTGTGTATCCAGGGAACATGTACAGGGTTCACACTTCTGATTTTTTTAGTGTTTTTTTAATTTTCTATTTTAACACACGGAAGACTCCTTCATGGGGTAACCAACTGTTATAATTTTGAGAAATTTTCTTTTCCTTAAATTCATTGGCTATCTTCAAAGGTCTGCTTGTGAGGCATGCTTTTTAGTTTGATGCGAAATTGTAAAGCAAGCTCAATTAATAACCTATGCATTTATTTTCCTAATTGGTATAATAACTTGCATAAAACTGTATAATATCAGTGTTGTTTCTCATGAAGCTAAATAAAAAAATGGAAATTTTCTATTGCGTATTTGGTTGAGATAGTCATTCTTGTATATAATTAAATATAATATTTGGGATCTCATTGTGCAATTAACTTTGATTCAGGAATGCCAGAGAGCAAGCCGGTGGTTGGGTTATCATGGCAACTACAGTTGCCTATTCCATCATCACTAAAAGCCACTAATGGGTCTCATATCAAACATCAGGCTGAGGCATCAAGCAGCACTGCTTGGAAATCCAGTTCAGAGCTGGTTGATGGCCTTTTTGTTCCTCCAAATGATCCCAGAAAATTAAACAAGTTACTAAGAAAGCAAGTTAAAGATACTGCTGGGAAAAATTGGTATGCAATAGGTTATTCTTTGAAGCACATTTGCATTTCTCAATGCAAGCACGGTTGTAATCAAATAGCAATATTTTGATGTCCATTTAATTCAACTATTTTTCTTATGATTTCTCTTTTTTTTTTTTCAGTCTGGGTATAAAAGGGAATTATCTAATTATATTGAAATCTTTGTTAGGTTCAATATGCCAGCTCAAACCGTCACCCCTGAGTTGGAGAAAGATCTGAAGTTATTGAAGGTGCTTTTGAGTTTTAACATCTTTAAATTTGTATATAGTTTTCTTTCTACTCTGTTTTGGAATATGGTCAAATATGATTTTTCTTTTGTGAACTTAGCTTGGATTGAGCCAGTAACATATAGTTACAATATCACATTCAAAGAGAAAAGAATGAAACAGAAAGACAGTAAAAGTTGATGATGCTACTTTCTTCAAGTAACATGGTAATAGAGTAATTTGTAGGATTCAGATTTTTGTTACCTTTTTGGAATGAAAATTTCAACTCTTTTTCATGTAGGATTTTTGCTTTACAAGAAACCGTCTAATAGTCTGTGACACTAGGTTTCTTGCTTCTTGCTGACACTGTATGTTTCAATTATGAGTAGTGTGTTTGCTGCTTCATTTGGTCTTTTGCCCCATTTAAATCCAATAAATAATTCTGCAATCATGTCATGTTACCTTAGAAGTCTTCTGGAATCTTCCTTGATATGGTGAAGTAAGATGCAATGATATAAATTATTGTATAAATGGCATATGTACATTTGATGATGCAATGAGCAATGTTGAGCCATATTAAGAGCATTTAGGGGGAAATACCTCACAGATTTGAATGTGTATGTCAATCTGTGTTAAGCTGTTTACTTTTGTATGGGCACCAGTATCCTTAGACTTTAATTCGTATAGTATATATGTTGATGGTTACAGTTGAGGGCTGCCCTTGATCCAAAGCGGCACTACAAGAAGGGTGATTCCAAATCCAAGACACTTCCCAAATATTTCCAGGCAAGTTCTTGGTTACACGCTATACACAAGCATATGATTGAGTGTTATTAGTTGTTCCTTCAAATTATGAATTTCTATTTGACAGCTTTTAGATAATTTGAATATTTTATAGGTCGGAACAGTTGTAGATTCTCCACTGGACTTCTTCTCAGGAAGATTAACAAAGAAGGAGAGGAAAGCAACACTTGCAGATGAGCTTCTTTCTGACCAAAACCTTGCAGCCTATAGGTAAGATAGGCCTTAAACTATATATCTGCCTGATTAAATGAAAAAAAAAAAAACCCCTCTAAGTGAAATTAGGGACTTGTTCATGCATATTCCAATGCTCTTTAGGTTACTCACTCATTGTTCATCTGTTTTTTATAGGAAGCGGAAGGTTCAAGAAATTGAAGAACAAAATCGACCAGCTGGGAATGAAAAGTGGAAGATCAAAGGTGGTAATTCCCGGAAGCGAGCTAAGGAAAGGAGGATTTACTGAATTTCCATCCATTTCAGCTGGAGGCACAGTTGATAATACTTTTTGCGGTTTAGAATTATTGAAGGTTATATAAAACACCTTAGTTTACTGTAATACGTATTGATGCTGTGTTCTTGTATCGTTGTAAGTCAAGAAAATGTTTTAGTCCCGTTTCTTCTGCTTGGGAATTCTGTGTTTCAATTTTACCAATCACAATTTTAAATAAAATTCTTTATAATGAAGTAAAAGAAACTAGAACCTATCCTTTTCATTGGTTAATGCTCTAGATATAAAAAATGATTATTCATTCTTATTTCTTTAACCATGGATAAAAATTGGAGACCAGATCAATTCGTTTGGTTGGAAAATAGGTTAATCGTTTATATAATTGGTTTGGACTACTGGAGATGATCAGACGATGAAATAATTGGTCCAAAATTGGTGGTAAAAAATTAATGTTCCTTTATTTTTGGTTCTGAATTTTTAATTGATCTAAATTGGTTTCGAGATAAAGGCCCATGTATAAGGTTCAAGTATGTATTATTATAATTTATTCTTTTATAGTTGATTTTTTGTCTAAGAGAAGATTATTTTTGCGCTAGGATGAAAAAGAAAGAAAAAAGAAATGGGTTCCGAAGCTTGAAGTTAAGAAATAGAGGAAGAAATAATATCTTAAATGAAATATTGAGTAAAAGTGCTTGTTGGCCTGGTGCCTTTTTAAACACAAGGCTAAGATTGTATTTACAATAATTTATGTAAACAAATAAAATATATATTTATTATATAGATATGAAAAATAGCACTTTTTTTTATTTGATAGGAGTGACAAGTTTTAAACTTCAACAAAAACAAGTTATTTTGAGAAGGGAGGGACACTCCTTTTTCGATAGCTAATACATCTCTTTTGTTATATGTTGCGGAAATTGGTGTGTTGATCTTCGCAGAAAAATGTTGAGAAAGAGGCCCATGTGCAAGGTTCTTGTGTGTATTATTATACTTTATTAAGTTATAGTTGAATTTTTATCTTATAGAACATTGTTTCTGCACTATAATTAGAGCTGGCAAATGGGCCAGTCTTCACCCATTTAGCCTTAACCCATGTGGGCTAGGGCTTAAAAGTCTATAGAGCTAAATAGCCCTTAATCTAAAAAGCCCATAGGGTTAAAAAGTTCACATAGTTTAGTGAGTTAAAATTGGCCCATGGGTAAGCACACAAAATTATATCAAATTAAAATTTTCTTTTGCACATTCTAATAAAAAAAAAGGGTGCAACTCATCTCCTTCCCCAGCATGCATTATTAAGATCAATTGTTTCTGCTATATGCAAATAACATGTTTAACCAAACTGAACAAAAATAAAAAGTAATGAATCATAATAGATCTAATCAACCTCAATCATCAAAGGCTCAGTCATATATAAATGCAGCATACAGATTCTATCTTTTAAGAACAAATTACTTTTAAAAAACTCTTAAAAAATTAACAAAAGTAAAGAATCATAATAGATATGATCAATCTCAATCATCAAAGGCTTAGTGACATCTACAAAGGGATCAACAGTAGTAGTATTCAACAAAAACAACCCTAAAAATCACCTTAAGTTTGACTATCTTTCAGGCAAAAAAAAATACAAAATATAAAAAGTCTTCATTCTTCAATTCATCACTAGCCTTCAATATCATCTTTTGGAGGCATATTTAATTCCTCCATCCCTCGATAAATAGGTTTACAATCATCTTCATCTAAAACTCACAAAATATTGAGAAATAATTAGATAAAAAATCAAATGAAATTAACTAAAAGTCTATACAATTATAAAAATATTGTCAAAATTATTACCATTAGGATTTGAAATAAAACCATGCAACCAATTTCTAGTGCATATGAGCATTTGGATATTATCAGGAAGGGTAGAACTTCTATACTTAGTAAGAACACGACCACCAATACTAAAAGCAGATTCTGAGGCTACTGTAGTAATTGGAATGCTTAAAACATCTCGTGCCATAATTGCAAGTGTCAGAAATCTTTTCTCATTAAACTTCCAATAACTCAGCACATCTAAATCCTCATTATCATCATAATCAAGTGATTTTTCTTCCAAATAAAGATCTAATTCACTCTTCCCAATGTTAGATTTGGTTTCACTTTGAAACTTTTTAAACTCCTGCAATATATAACATATTAATTACTTAAACAAGATAATAATAGAAGTATAAATTTAATAAATAAACATTAAAAAATACCTTGAATACTTTTGATCGCTTGTGCCTACTTCCTTTATCACTTGCCTTGTCCAACATATTAGATTTAGTTAATGGTTGAGATTGAGAAGAACTTGGTGTATTGAAATGATCACTCACATACTCTTCATACAATTTCTCAAACTTTTCCTTCACACTCTTAACCTTATATTCAGAGGTTGACCAAAAGTTTGGTATAGCAAAATAGTATAAAATCTAATTTCAACCGTGGGTCAAGAATAGCTCCAAAAGCCAATACCACACTATACTCTTTCCAATATTTGTCAAATTTTTTTTTCATCCTTACTGACATTTCCTTTATCACCTCATCATCATTAACCAAGTTTTCATCTAATATGCACTCAATCTTCCACACTTGCAAAAAATATAAATTTGAGGTTTGGTAAGAAGAACCTGATATCATGTTAGTTGTCTCATAAAATGGTTCTAGAAATTCACATATCTTTTCTCCCCTTCTCCATTCTTCTTCTGATGGACAACATTTATAATTTGTATCTGTCACTCTAAGAATATCAAATACTCTTTCGTATTTGATTGCACTTTCAAGCATTAAATATGTTGAATTCCACCTAGTTGAGATATCCAATCATAAACCAATACTTTTATCAATACCAGCTTCTTGCACACAATTTTTAAATTTAATCATCCTTCTATCTGATCCTCTTACATACTTAACACTCTCTCTAATTTTGTAAAGTGGTTCACCAGCCACTTTCAAACCCTCTTGGACAATCAAGTTAAGTATGTGAGCAGAACAACGAATGTAAAAATATTTACCATCACACAATAAACTATTTTGCAAACGAAGATGAGCTTTCAAAATATCTTGCATACTATCATTAGCAGAAGCATTGTCTAAAGTGATAGAAAATAACTTTTTGTCTATTTCCCAGTATCTCAAACAATCAAATAGTATAGCTTCTAATTCAGGTCCAGTATGTCGAGGCTTCATCCGACAAAAATTAAGAATTCTACTGACTAATTTCCATTTATCATCTACAAAGTGTGCTGTCAAACAATTATATCCTTCAGTGGTAGAAGCTGTCCAAACATCAGAAGTCAAACACACTCTATTGGGAATTTCAAATAAAATTTGCTTGAGTTTATCTTTCTCTATAGTATATACCTTTTTAATATTTGACAAAACAGTGTTCCTAGAAGGCATCACAACACTTGGATTTAAATACTTTATTCATTCTCTAATACTATCATATTCCACAAAATTAAAGGGAAGATCATGCTGAATTATAACTTTAGCAAGCAACTCACGGTGGATCTTTTGATTAATTTGTGTTATGTTGGACTTTGGATTAGATAACATCTCATTCATATTTAGATTCGAGTTTGAAATCTCTTTATAAACAGAAATATGACGACTTAAATGTGAAGTCCCATAGTTTGTTTTTGACTTAGGATTTTTATCAATTGCATAATCACGCTCACAAAAATTACATGCAGCTCTTTCCACACCATCCTTATCTTTACCAATTTTTGAAAAAAACTTCCACACATTTGAAGTCTCTTTCTTTGCTGACTCAACATTTTTAGAAAAAGTGATTGGAGTTTCAGAAACAACTTCATCTTCCACATTTACATGTTGATTTGCAAACTCCATAATAAAATTCTATATTTTAAAAAATTATAATCAATATCCATCTATTTTATATACCAAAAGACTTATGTAAAAAAAAATAACACATATTTACTACAAATGCATTGCAAGTAAAAACCTTATAATATCAATGTAAAAGAAATTTATTATGCACAACAAGTCAAAGTTGCAATTTCTGTTCAAGGGACAAAATTCTCAATACTAAAATATCAATGCAATTTCTAATCATATTAAAATTGCATTCCATTATACAAGAAAGTGTTTCAGTTAGGTATTCACACAAAAGATCATTTGGTACATAACAAGGTGACATCAATCCAAAACAATTTCTAATAAAATAATATGTTACCCACATTACACATAAGCCAAGAATCCTAACAAATACATATCAATCAAAAATTATTTTTTTAAAAATGAATCATTCCTGTCATATCAAGACTGCACATACGATTTGCTATTGCTCGATTAAAACTAAATTTGTTATCAGAATTTTCAGATACACACATTTTGCTCGACCAAATTGGTTTAACATATTCCAGATTGGCTCGCAAGCATGGAAGGGCTAAGATTAGTGAGAAAATATCCAAATTTGTACATTATTTAATAATTGAAATGCACATATATACTTTAGGGACTATTGCTTTACTCAAATTCTTTATCTCCAAACACACACATAGAGAAAAAAATGAGGATAAATTGTTATCTCCAAACTAAAAATATGGATTTTCTTCTATAGGGTTTTTTTTTTATTGTGGTTCATCTAAATTAGCTGTATCTGAAGAGGTTGTGCATCAAATTTATAACATGTCAACAAACTGTATCTGAATTTTGTACCGACGTTCAGCAAATAACTAGTAATAAGACAAATTTAACATTCCATATTTCCATTAAAAGAACCGAAAGCTGCATGTTGAATTAGAAACGAAAGTTGCGAAAAAAAAATCATATCTACATAAAAAAGCACCGTTCCAGAAATATTACTGCTGCAGAATTGCATCTAACATCAAGGTTAAGTATAAATTTTCAAGCAAGAGAAGTTAAAATATGTGGAAACATCATAAATAGTTTATTACCTCCAAGTTGCATTCAAACACTATGACTGTCGATGCTTTCCATTGTTCCAATCTGTTCTTTTTTTCTCTTTTGGGGCTGAAGAAATTGTTAAAATTAGGGTTTAGCTTACAAAATCCTTTTCTGGTTTGGGACTGCAAAATAGTAGAGTTCAAGCTTAGAAAAATTTGATTCAATAAAAGTTACCCATGGGCCCGTCTTTATACTTCATATTTTAACCTACTTTTATTTATGGGTTATATGGGTTAGGGCTAGACAGCCCTGTTATAAAATAGGCTAATAAAAAATGGGGCCAATTATAAAGTTTTAAGGGTCAACCCATGGATTTTATTTTTATTTGCCAGCTCTAACTATAATAGAAAAAAAAAAAAAAGAGAAATGGGATTGGTGCATTATTATACTTTATTAAGTATAAGTGTTTTTTTAGCCTTATGCCCTTTTCATTACACAGCTAAGACCTGTATTTATAATGAGTTTTTTTTTTTATATATCGAATAGGAGTGATAAGTTTCAAGTTTTAACTAAAACATATATTTTGAGAGGAGAGGAGACATTTCATTTTAGAGAGCTAACACATCTTTTTTTGTTGTATGTAGCTGGAATTGGTGCATTGATCTTCACAAAAAGTTGAATGCTCCAAGTTATGCGTCTTTACTATGAACAACTTGGATTGTAACTAGGTTTTTGGAAATATGCAAACCTTGTTTCCAATTTTTCAGACCTGCATTATGTCTATTGTAGGTCTTGTGCCGGAATACATGCATTTTGTCTTTCTCTAGTTTTTTCTTTAAATTTTTCTTACAGTTGCTTTGAGCTAGTGCTTGAAATGGTTCGCTCTTAAGTCAAGTCATAATCTTGATTTAGCGTAATTGGAATGTCGCTCCAAACAAACATACAAGTGAAATGATTTTATGCTAATTTTAAATTTTATATATTGAGGTCCTCGGTATTCTTTAGCATTTCGTGGCCTCGGTTGATTTTTTTGGTAAATGGGGTTACAGAAAGCTCACAAGACATTAATTCAACATAATGTTACTATGTGTTCACTCCTTCGACCAACCTCTTGGATTGCCCGTGTCCTCACTCCTCTAGATTATGATCAGTTTTACTGACGAAGAGGAAACTGAAGGTAACAAAAGGCAAAAGCAACTAGTTGTTACCAAATAGGCAAGTACCAAGTAAAGGCTTTGATTCACCATTATTGACATTATTTTTAATTACTCAGTTTATAAACAACGGTATTATGTTTGAAGATTTTTTTTTTTTTTTTGAGACAACAACGGCAAATTACAAACCTTAAATAAATCAAAAATAAATTTGACTGTTTTAATCCTTAGAAAGGAGAGTAAGCATGTAATATGCCTTTGATAAGCTTCGGCAATTGACAGCACGCTACTTGTTATGTATTGGAGGGTTTCTTGGTTTGCATCTTGTCTGGTGCACTTTATTTAAATATTCAATGATAGTAATATTCTGTTTTGGCATTTGATGTTTTTTAATCTAATTCTGTTCCTTTTAATGATTTTCTGATTGCACGAGTACGTTCCTGTTGGACCCCCAGATCATCTTTGTGCTGTTTGTTCAAAATGCTGAAGTTTTCATTAATTCTCCATTGCATTGCTGCAAAAAACTGAATCAGTCGAGAATTTCTGATCCTCGTGACTAAATTGTGACTACTTTCCCAAAATTTAGTTGGACTACTGCTTTTCTATAAACGTGTATTTCTTTCTAATACGCATGAAATTGAATTATTTGTGATAAATATGAATTATTCTTTACCGTATTTTAAAAAATCAGAGTCAACGGCTCCTCAATCCTTCATAAGACACTACCTTCTAGCAAATTCATTATGCACCAAAGACATAATGTAATTCGTGGCTTCTAAAACAATATAGCCATATAGGGGTGATATTTCCTCCCCACATTCGTTATTCAAAGATCAAGAAAAAATGACCACACACTAAAAGTAAAGGGGGAAAGTAAATAGTCTTAACGGCTCCTCAAATCCTTCATAAGGCACATTGACCAACTATGGCATAATTTGTTAATCACCAAAGACACAACCGTTAGTGGCTTTTAGACACAATATTTGGGTGATGTTCACACAATTAATTTTCCGTAGCTGAGAGTTTCTTCCCCCTTATAAATAATAAAGAGATTAAAGTTTCCCTTACACTCGTCTCGTTTCTAATGAAGATACCATGTGTGATGTTGTGCATTATGCTTTGTCTACTTCTAGCTGGAACAAAGGTGTCAGTGGCTGAGAGTTGTAACGTAATGGAGCTGGTTCCATGTGCTAATGCCTTCACCACATCGACGCCACCCTCACCAGAGTGTTGTGATAGACTTAAGGAGCAACAACCACCATGCATTTGCCAGTATATGAATGACCCAACCCTAATCAATTTCATCAACACTCCCAATGCTAAGATGGTTAGTGACAGTTGTGGCTCCCCAATGCCAAATAATTGCTAAAGTTTATCAATAAATATAAGTGGTGCCCTTTTGTGAAAATTTGCGGATAACTTGATGTGATTTATAGGCTGTTACTTTTACAACCTCTGTAGTTTAAATTAAGTAAATGCTCAAATTGGGTTTTCATCATTTGCATGGCAAAATGGTCCAGTTCAGTTCCCAAATTGTCCAACAAATTTTAAGATTTGGGTTTTAAAATTTGGGTACATATTTAATTCTAATTTTTTTACCTTTAAGTTCCAGGCAGGGTTAACCTACATAAACGTTTGAAAAAAAAGGCTTTTACTAAACCCAGACAGTATTTTGTGAATCTAAATCGAATTCGAGCAATTTTAGCTTAAGTCTCTAATACTTGTTGCTTGTAACAAGTAGTGCTCATTTTGCTAGCTACATAGATAGTTTAGTGAATAATGGATTAAATTTTTTTAAGATATGGGGTATTATATACGTGTGTGTATAACGTTATAAATAATCATACTGCTATTAAAAGTGTAACATAATTACATTTTACATATTTTCATGCTTTGAAAATTTGTAATGATTTTCTTTTATTTTCAATATTACCAAAATGCTCTAATCCTTTTTTTAATTTAAAACACTCAAAATCAACAGAAAAAACAATACCCAAAATGCCATATTGTTAAAACATTTAGAAAAAAAATTATAAAGAAAGGATGAACCATACACAACATTAAAGAAGTAAAATACAAAGCATAAGTCAAATTTTGTAATAGAAAGATTATTCAAACTTGTCAAAATATGGTTGAATTGAGAAAAATAAGATGACAACGCAAATAGTATGTGATAATATAACCGACAAAGTTCATTTAGTTTAGAAAAATAACTTTTGCAACAAGCTAATAATTTTTTTAATTTTATATTTAGTAGATAAATAAATAATTAAAAATTGAAAAGTGGGAAGTACTTGACTCATGCCTTTATTTTAACCTTTATAATATTTTCTCTAATAAAAGTTTTTATATAATAATTTTTTATTAAAAATTATAAAATTTAATAGATTGGTACCATTAAATGTTATAATTTTTAATTATAATTTATTAATTTTTTATTATGTACAATTTATGCTGGTTAAAAGATTCCTTTTATTTGCTACGGTTTTTTTAAGGAGAGATAGAGGCGCACAGATTGGAGTGGATATTGTTTTTCTGAAAGTTAAGTATTGGGCCAACTTCCGATGGTCAGCTGACAAATAAAAGAGGGAAATTGAGCGGCTAAACATTTAGGCCAATCCGACAAATAAACTGAATGTATTACTATTGAAATCACCGGTACAATTCGATGGACTCCCGATTCTCTTCAGGTTGTGTGAGAATTAATTTTACGTAAAATTTGCTTGGTATAGGTAAATTTAGCTTAAATAAATTTTATGGCTTAAAACAATTTTGTGGCTTATTCTCTTTCTTCTCTTCTATGCTTAATATTACTTTTGAACATTTATATTTAATTTTCTTTATCCTTCTTACATATTGAACTTTCTCTTTTTTCTTCAACTCCCTCTTCATTCTCTTGTTTCACTGGAATAGATGTTCTATATTATCAAGTTCCAATTACATAAAATGTCATTATTATGCATGGAAAACATTTGAAATTTTTTCATATATTGAAAAGGATCTAATCAGAGTATTTAGCAGACAATTTATGTCCTTTACTGTAAGCATACAAATCTTAAAATATTATTTGGGACCAATCTCATTTATAAGTTGAAAATCATGAAAAAAAACATTCTTCTCATCAAATAAGATAGGTATGAAAAAAAGAGGAAAAGATAAGTATGAGAGTGGGAAAAAGAAGAGGAAAGTTGAGTATAGGATGAAAGTGAGGTAGAGTGGGGGAAGAAGGAGTTAAGGGAGGAAGAGAAAAGTTAAATATGAGAGAAGAATGAAGAGAGTTGAATATGGATGTTGGAGAAAAAGTATTAAGCATGGGGGAGAAGTGGGAAAGCAAAAAATTCAAAAAAAAAAATGCAAAATTCGCTTAAGTCATAAAATTAGCTTAAGCTAAAAAAATTTGCTTAAGCAAATTTTATTATTTTTCTAATTTTTGCTTAAATAATTTCTCAATTTTTGCTTAAGCAAGTGAAATTTTGCTTAAGCAAAAATCATGTTATATATATATATATATATATATATATATATTAAAAAATTAGAGTAAAAATTAATGTAATAATTTGGAAATTTAAATGGGGTTAAATTTTGAACTTCATTAAAATTAAAAGTATTTGAAAAGGCATAATTAATTTATAAAATTTTCTCGAATTATTAATTATATTGACACGGGTATTAGAAAGAACTCGGAAATACTAAAGTAGTAGACTCACATTGTGTCTATGCAAACCCCTATTTGTCTCACACGATACACAGGCCTAATTTTGATTAATAAGACTACAGAAATTTTTTAAAACCAGAGTAAAATATAAAAATTTGATTCATTTTGTCTACTTAATTGATTTTATTTTAAAAAATCGTAAGTGGATATTAAAAGATTTATCTGAATTTAAAGTTTTTATTTCACTGTATTAATTAATCTGTTCTTATTTATATTGTTAAAATGCAATGCCGGGCACATCATTTTACTTCGAAATTGCTAAGCATCATTATTTTATTTTAGTCGGCATAGATGCCCACTTTGGTGTTTACAGAACAATATTACATTTACCTTACCAGATGCTATTAGATATACTTAAAACACAACTAGAAGAAAAAGGGAGAAAGATGGTGTCGATTTCTAGTACATGTATGCTACACAGCATCCTGGTTAACATTTAGGCAGATCAGGAGGTGGGGGAGGGAGTGAGGTTGAAGGAGTTGGTCCATTCTCAACCTCAAATGTCATGGCTAGTCCCCATGGCACGTGATCTTCCATATGACAATGCACAAGCCAAACCCCTGCAATGTAACGATGAAATTAGTGTGGGTTATTTTGTCTAGTTGAGATGGCTACGTCAATAGTAGTATAGTAGTTACTTGAGAGACAATTTTACATGACTTTTTCTTATGTAGGTCAAATGTGCATATACCTGGGCTGTTTGCTTGGAATATGATGACAGCCCATCCTCCCACAGGAACACCAATTGTGTTGCGTATTTGTGGATTCACCAAATTAAACTTTTCTACATCCGTAGTGGAATTAAAATTCCCAAACCCTTGAGCCAAAACATGGAAGCTAAATCCATGAATGTGCATAGGATGGTTCTGGCCACCAAGAAGAGCTGTATCTTGAAACACAATCTCCACCGTTGAATTAAACTTGAGTCTCTTCACCTTGGTTGATTTTGGTGCAAATAGAAGGCTTTTGTTCATAGCTGTGTCAGGATCCGTGAAGCTGTAGTTAAGTGGGGGGTTATCAGGGAAATCCGCAGTGTACACTCCACTCACATTTTTATAAAATGCTTCCAACATAGACAACCCTTTCCCCGTAGGAGCAACAAATGACTCATTGTTCATGCTAGCAGAAAACCTTTGGCCAAATGGGCCCTGACACGTGCCATTGGTGACATTCTTAGGATCACAAAAATCCAAGTTGAATCCAATGGTAATGAACATGTGCTCATCCACCTTACGTGGCACAGGAACCCAATGTGGGGCCCCCACCTTGCTCGTTACATTGCTATAGAATTTAAACACTGTCTCGTTGTCGTCAAAGGGTGGTAGAATCGGCATCACGGGTTGTGACGACGGCGGCGCATCTTGGTAAACGACTATGCCGCGTGTTGCGTTTTTGTTAAATTCAGATAGACCAACAACGTAAGGAGAGGCAACCATGTAGTATGAACCATTGGGTTGGTTGGCTGTGAATAACACGTCAGCACTTTGGCCAGGGGCAATAACGATGACATCAGTGACATAGCGGTCGGTGTATGAAGCATCGACAGCAACAACTGTGAAATTGTGGTTTGCTATCTTGAAGAAAAGATCGTAATTGAGTGCAGCGTTGATCATTCGTAGCATTGCTTTACTTTCATCTTGAATATCTCTGATTTGGGTTCAAAAGATCAGACATAGTCAGACCAATAGATTCACTGGTTTTAAATCTTCGAACGAATAAGACAGCATGATATATGATTTCAAATGTTTGAATCAAAATTTATGTGGTCTATTAGAAATTGAATCTCTTTCTTTAATTAAACTTATTTTATGTTCTACTTTTAAGAAAAAAAATCAGTTGTTTAGAAGTTTATTTAATTATGTCACTTAACAAATTGATGAATCATTAGGAGAAAATTGTTGTCTCTGTTATTATGAATTTTTAATGAATATTTAAATTAAATATTAACATAAAAATGGTAGGTTTATTTTAATAGTATGATGAATCATTGAGATGTATAAATATTCTATACCACCAAACTTATCTATTAATATGATATACGTATTATTAATTAACATAAATATATAATATTCTACTAATTAACAATTTAATTTTTTGAGACAAAATCTATATCAATGGAACATGTTCAACATCTAAAGGCTCATTTATTTATTTATTATAGCAAAAGGCTCGTTTATTTTAAAGTTAGGTAAAAATATTTTTTATATAACTAACGCAATTGAGATGTGTAAAAGGAGTTAATTCTGGCTATAAAACCCACAGACCCTAATATTATTTTTATACTAGTACATGGAATTGTTTTGTGATGGGGGGTAACTTACCCTTTTTAGAACAATTGAAGAGATCGCCAGACAAGCCGTTGATTGTGAAGGCATTAGATGTCGTTGGTGAACCACCGGTAGCTTGTGCTTCGGCAGTAATATCCTCAACATTAGAATTATACCAATCACCTGAATTTAAATTTAAGAGGTTGACATGGAAAATATTACAATATTTGAAATGATTACGGATTTTATAATTGTATTAAGAGGATTGTATGAGCTAGACTTGCTTCATAGATAGAGAAGACTTGTTATATGCTTATATAAGGGCAAAAAAAAGTATGTAAAAAACAAACAATATAAGAAAATTAATGAAACTCTTATTGTAGAAGAAAGGGATCATTTTGCATTGGTAAGTCTTAAAAGAAAGTTTAGACGTAAAAGGATGGAAGCATCCATATAAAAGAGAAAAAATAAAAGGTACAAAAAATGCTAATACCTAATATAAGGGGAATCTGATCGTCTGGTTTAGGAAATGGATATTGGCCTGAACGAGGGTGAATGATGAAAGCACCATGAACTGTTGCGCGTAAATATGATGCGTGAGCGTGCCACCATAAAGTTCCTTCTTGCTGTGTTACGTTGAATTTATACGTGTACTTATTTCTCGGACTAATTGTGCATTGAGTTACATATTCAGGTCCATCAGCCCAAGCACTCAAGAACTGAAATAATCCATGCCTACATACACAGGTCAAATTTTCATCCACAGTGATCCATTAATTTAAATGAAACAATTTTTGGCACAATGCAAATAAAAAGATAAATTTTGTGTCTAATAACGAATTTTTATGTCTAACGATTAGACTTACCAAATGAATGGTCCTATTCATCTTAATTTTATTTGAAACCAAAAGAACAACAAGCGGACATTTTAAATGAGAGAAAAAGAAAAAACACATATCCTCTTTCCTTATCTCCATCTTTATCTTAATTAATTGTGGTTAAAAGGTAACACTTTCGCTCTAATTGTTATTTTTTCTCGCTAAATATCCATTTTTAAAGTGAGGAAATAGGAAAGGAGACTGAAATAGAAATAAGTGATTTGGTTTTCTTAAATGATTTTTTTCTTAAGTGATCCCCTAATTATTAGGTTAGATCAACCTTATCCGTGTGATTTCGAGTCTATAGAAACTCGTATCAATATAGTATAGGAAAATATATTATGTATAACTTTTAGAGAAAAGTTTTACTTTTACTTCTAAAATATATTTTGAAGATATTTGTATACAGAAAATATTAAAGATAAATAAAAGATAAAAATAATTATATACAACATTACGTGTGATATTGATTTTTAATTATTTTAAAAAATAAACTGTATAAATTTGAAGACAAAAGGCTTAACGCTATATATTTTATTAAATTCTATGGACGAGGGCTTACCAATGAATAGTGATATTATAAGGTCCCTCATTCAATACATGGACAATAACTGTGTCACCTTCGTTGACATTTATCGTTGGTCCAGGAAATTGCCCATTAACTGCGACAATCACTTGCTCCTTGCACAAACGTTTGATAGTCATGTTTTGAACCTGTAACACGTGAAATTGCAATAATATGAACAGCCTAACATAAGAAATCATATATGTAATAAGCATTCTAAAGACGTAATTTTTTTTCAATGTATTATCTGTGCGTGGAAACATTTTCTTTCTTTTAATTTTGTAAACAGTTGTTTATTGAACTGTTGTGAGACATTGAATGGAATATAAAATGTTCAATGTAGTATTAGGCGTTGTCAATTGTTATTATTTAAGAAGAGAGTCTAATCCATAAGACGTATACACTAATGTACAACCAAGTAGTGTACTGTAAAGAAATGATTAATGTTCACCATACATATAAAAAAATGAGATGCATGAGATAGAAATAAGAGGCATAAAAGAGAGAGAGAGAGAGAGAGAGAGAGAGAGAAACATATATAATAATACTAACTTAAGCTATCCACGACAAGTAGCTAGAGGGAAATGAAGTGAAATGAGGTAGCAAATTACTTTGAAAGTGTGATCCACAGTAGCTGCTGAAGCCACGGAAGAAGCTAGAAGAGCAAAGGCCCATGCTAGCGAAAACACGAATAGCTTCATTTATTGGGAGAAACCAGAGAATTCGAAGTATACGAAAATAGAAGTTTTTATCAAAAGATAAGAAAAGACTATAGCTGTGGCTACCTGGATGGTTTAGTCCATTACATAGGCTTCATATATATATATATATAGGCAGCGGGATTGGACATTTTCTATTTGTTTTCATTTATAAACTATTCACATGAGAATCCAATGTGATTTGCATTGAGTTTCTTTTTTCTATTTTTTTTATGGTGGATCGTTGAGTTGACAAATTTATTGGTACGATAGAAAATGATGTTGATGCCTTCAACCAAATAGCCCCATCAAGTAGGAATATTTTAACTCAATGAATATCCTATCTTCTGCAAAATATAAGAAAATAAAAATCCCTTTTAGCTGCCCGCATCCTCCAAGTGTTTGAGTAGTGCAAGGGATTCTGATATAATATTTATAGTTATGATTTTAAAAATACATTTTTTAAATTCGTACATAATATGTTTATAATAAATAGAAATGTTATTATTATTATTTTTTAAAAAAGGAAGCACCATCGTAGAGGTGAATCATGGAGGCACTCATAGAAATTCTATGGAAAAGGAGATGAACAAAAGTAGCAGAGTACCCAGATAGAGAGGAGAGTAAATCAAATCAACTTAAATTACACTTTATATAAGTAGGCTTAATTTATTTAATATTTTTAAAATTTAAGTATAATTATTAAATTATAAATTTTTTATTAATCTTAACTTGACATTTTTTAAAATATACTTTGTTTTAAAATATTTGATTAATTATTTTTTTATAAATAAAATACTAAATTATCTAAATAAATTTATGTTTAAAAAGAATACAAGGTATGTATCTAATACTATAAATTTTATGGTTTTATTTATTTTTAATTTAATGTATTTAATATAATGTTATAATTATATTGTGATTTATTTATATAAATTATTTTATATATTATTATAAAATTAATAAGCCTTAAATAGATCTATTTTTGAAGTTTAATAGACTTTTTTTAAATTTAAGTTTGATATATTTAATTTATTAAATTTTTTAGAAATTTAAATTTATCCTATCACTTAAATAGATTAAGCTTTAAACAAGCTAATCTAGTTTCATTCCTACTTAATTTCAAATCCAAATATTTCTATTGCATATTTCGTCACTTTACCGACTAAATTATCTTACGGAAACATAATTAAATCTTTGAACATTGAAGTTATTAATTAATGTATTTAGGTAATGCTATTTAGGTTCATACAAATCAGCTTATAGTTATACATTAGAGGGATTATTTGTTTTTAGGGAGTCAGATCAATAATTCAGCTTAAATATATATGTTGCTTTAGCATGTGCGGTATAAAGGCCAAGTAATGGCACTTGATAGTTTTAAGTTGTTTTAAAATAAGAAAAATGTACCACTGGATTCATACGGGTTCTTATACCGACTCTCTTATTAATTAATTATGCTTTTATTTTGCTATTTAATTAATTATAATTTTAATACTATAATATTGAGGTAATAAATATATAATTAATGGTTTATAACAGAAAGAAATTCATTGTTTATTTTATTAGCCAACAAAGAAAAACAACTATATTAATAGAAATATAAGGAGTGTTTAAGTTCGTATATATAGAGTTTACAAAGTTTATTTTAAAGCTTTCAAACACATTAAAAGCTGTTAAAATTGAATGTCATCAATGAAAATTATATTAATATAATACTAAATTTTAGAGTTTAATTTTGATAATTTATTAATATAAAAATTTACAATATCAATTAATTGAAATACATGATAGGTATGACTTTTATATTAATTATCACAAAAGTAATTTTATTTACTTATTTGATGATTTATAATTAATAGTAATATACAAAATTGTTAAATTGTTAGTGTTTTTTAATTAAATTTTATTGTTGATTAAAAAATATTTAAATAATATATTTAAATACATTTTAAAGGTTAAATTTAAGACTACATCCTCAGTATGCTACAATTATGAGAATCCTAATCCGTTTATTTTTTTTAAAAAAGAAAAATCTGCCAGCATGTTTGATTGCCCACTGATTTAATTTCAACATACATCGTAATCAATGCTTTAAAGAGAAGCATTAACATATAGAAAGCGCATCTATTAAACTAAAGCACCCATATAAACACGTTTTAAGCCTACTGGAGCATTATCAAATTCAAAAGATAAATCGAATTTGCTTTCTTGTACAAATCACTTTATTCTGTACTATCCATATCATCTAATGTACATTTTTTTTATCATAAACTAATTGTGATTTATTATATGTAAGATGTTAATTAAAACAACATATAAAGTAACTGTTGGAAGATGTTTAATTTAGAAGACAGGGACGATTTCTTCAACCTGCAAAAGAGGGGAATCCTAAGGGATAATCTAAACCTGATGTACATTTTCTTGTCAACAAGGAAGAAATTATAGAACACGTTTTTGTAACTTGTCCATATGGGACCCTTTGTTACAGGTAGATTGTTTTATTCACTTGTCTACATTTTGCATAGCATATTGGTTCAACAGAAGGGAAGAGAGAAATGACATTATTTTTCAAAATGGACAGAAGAGGTTGATAGCTCAGGAAAAAGATTGATCGGTTCAGCTGCTTTTTCTATTAATGGAACGCTACTCCTAATTCATTATGCCTTAAAGTAGCAATCAAATGATACGAAAATAGGACTTGGTGATGGTCTGCTAAACATATATTTGGAAGTCCTTAGAAAATTTCCATTGAACTTTTATGAGGATCATAATGCAGTTTATAGCAAGCTTTGTACGTTATCTGTGGATGGACTCTACATTCTTTTGTCATTGATTCTTGCAAATCACTGTTATTTTCCCTAACTTTTAGTAGATATAGCATGTTATGTGATGTATTATATTTTCTTTATTGTCTTTATATTAAACATATATAGGACCAGTGCTATATTTTTCCGAAATACCTTGGTACTTATTTCTTTTATCAATTATTAATAAATTACCTTTGCTTATATAAAACATGGGTTGTAATCGTTGACTACATATAAAATATGAAACAAAAAAATTATGAAAAATGTGCCACTGATTGTCAAATAATAGTAATACATTACTTTATAATAACGCGCAATAGTTGTTTTTTTAGAAAGCGCATGAAACAAATTTGTCTCAATCACATCAACTACATTATCAAAATTCCACGAATAATAAAAATGGATCACGTTTGTTATTTTGTTAACTCGATAATACCACGTTTTAAAAGATTATATATTATTAACCTTTCATTATATTTTATATTTAAACCTAGGGTATATGCATATTTTATATTTTATTACTCCCACTTTTTCATCTTATTATAATAAAAAAGAAAGAGAAAATTTAATCTATTTTACTTTTTTTTTAAACATAAATAGATCGATGTAAAGGATAATATAAAATAAATAAGTGTAAAACTGTCATTACTAACATTTAATAATGGTTAATAGCAAAAAAATAAAATAAAATTTAATAATGGTTATAATAAAAATATTTCCATTATTAATTTTCACAACTGAAAATTAATATTATATATGACATAATACATAATGATTATTTTTTCAATGAGCCTTGATTCAATTACCTTTTTGTTTTTAACACTGTACACAACAATTTTCATTTATCTTATTTTTTTGGGTATATCCGTCCTAAAATTACACTTAATAAGTAAAGAAGACAACTTCAAGTTGTTAAAAAAGAAGAAAAATTAAACAAAATTATTAATAAATTGATTCAATAAAAAAGAAGAAAAGGATAATTGCTGTTTATCTGTTCCAATGAGCATGTTTAATTTTTCAAAATATTTTCTGTTTTTATTTTAATTACAAAACTGTTATCTTATTTTTATTTTTTTTACTTTTTAGATTTGTATATAAAACAGTAAAAATTAAAAAAAAAATCAGTATTTTCTGTCCAAATCTTTAAAAACAGAAAATAAAATAAAAACATAAAATCTTTCTTAAAACCAGCCTTTTAGCTTCTTTAGCTTTGGCAAGCTGCAGTGGGCTGCATGATGGATGTCACGGCTTAATCCCCTTCCCTTGTCTCGGATTCAAATTAATATTTAGATTAATTACATTTTTTGTCTTTTAAATATATTAAACTTTAATTTTTATCTCTACAATTTTTTTACTTTTTGATTTTAAAAATTATTAATTTTGATATCTGTGAATACTAATTTTTGTCTCTCAGAAGATTATCTCTACATATAAAAAAATTAGGAATAAAAATAATAAGTTATTTAACAAAAAAGTAGAAAACTTCAAAAAATAAGCTTTGTTCCTGAAAACAAAAATCTTGGACTATGCAGATTTATATCTAATAGCAAGAAACAATTTTATAAAGGAGATGCGATTTATATCTAATAGCAAGAAACAATTTTATACAGAAGAAGAGGAAAAAATTCAAAAATTTAGTATTTTTTTTTAAACCTTAAAAGCAAAAAAGGCTAATATAAACAAATAAATGAGAGATCTGGAGAGGGAGAGACATTGAAAGAAGGAGCACAAAGTTTTCAAAAAAGAGAGTAAAAATTTGAAGTAAAAGATTTGGAAAAAAAGAAAAAGGAAAGGAGCAAATGAAAAGACGCATAGTAGAAGATGGTGATAAAGCTCAAATTGATAGTCTACAATTGGATGGTGTTAGAACATGAAATACAATGGGTTTGATGATGGGACAAAAAGGTGGACATGTAGGAGTTTTTTTTCTAAAGAAGGACCTATACAATCACATTGATAAGCAAAAAAGAGGCATAATAGAAGATGGTGATGCAGTTGCTGCATTATCCTATTTATAATCCAAGGCTGAGAATAATCCCTTGTGTTTCTTTAAGCGTACTAAAATAATTGATGGACAACTAAAGAACTTATTTTGGTAGAATGGAGGGAGTCACTTTGATTATCAAGTATTTGAAGATGTTGTCACTTTTGATAGTACCCGTAGGAAGAACAAGTACAACAAGCTATTAGGTATTTTTTGTAGGTAAAATCACTAGGGATAAACTAAAATTTTTGGTTGTGCATTGATCTTAAATGAGACAATTGAAATATACAAGTGAGTTTTGGAGTCCTTTTTAAAGGAAATGTTTGGCAAACACTCTAATGCAGTTGTCACAGATAGAAATGAGGCAATGCGAGAAGCTATTAGGGTTTTATTTCCAAAAGGCACTAAAAACAAACTAGTTTTAAATGCAAGAATTGAACCGATTTTGAACTAGTTTTAAAACTTGATTTTCAATCACTTCAAAAATTGGTTCTTTAGGGGTTCAAACTAGTTCTTTGATCTATTTTTGACACATGTTTAAAACTAATTCAATAACTAATTCTTTGGTTTCAAATTGTTTAAAACTGATCTCCAAATTGGTTATGTGGTTAAATTTGATTGTAAAACTAGTTTAAAATCAATTACTTGAGAAAAAGCAAGTAACCAAACTAAAACTAGTTTCCAAACACAAAATTGGTTATACCTGCTTTAACATAGCAACACAATGCATACATGCATCTATCCAACTAATAATTTATTGAAATATGTTTTTATAAGTAATTAATGCATACTAACTTTGTTGTTATAATATAATAAAATAACATCTTATAATAAACCAACAATATTTAATTACAAAAAGCAACTTTCTTTTTTTAAAAATAAAAAAAAATGCACTTCCTATCTTTGTTACTTCTTGATTTAGTACAACAGCTGATCAACTTATCACAATTCAAATGATACATAATAAAATTAAAATTAAAAACTACATTTATCGTTGCATAATTAAAATTAAAATCAATTACACACAACTTATCACAATTCAAATGATACATAATAAAATTAAAATTAAAAACTACATTTATCGTTGCATAATTAAAATTAAAATCAATTACACACAACTTATCACAATTCTAACCAAATCCACGATAATGTATCAAAATTTGCACATAAGCTTAGCATGGTTTAACAAAGTATAGTCAAGTAAGCATTATGTTAGGTATCCATGACATACTCGAGGACATCTTGCATTCCAAATATGACTTTTATTTGGATGCACCAAGAATCATAGTTCTTGCCATCAAGAATTGGCATGTGTGTTGAAAACCCGTTCTTGTTCATATCTACAACAAGAATAGCGACCAAATATGAAGAAGAACACAATGATCTTCCAACGAACTCTCCCTGAATTCGAAGAACCAAAAGCTCTCGATACTATTGTAGGAACTGATAACTTTGATATACAATCAGTAAGATCACACACACTCACATACACTCTTGTTTGATGATAGGAACAGAAAACATGGAGTGAGAAAGAATTAGAATAAGAAATTTATATAAGAGGACGTGAAAAATAATAACAATGATTTTTTTATTACTATTCAGTGATGATGAATAGCCTTTTATACAATACTCAACTAACTAACTTCTAGAACTGGATTAGCTACAACATAGTGCTTACATTCACCACTTTTTCTGATGCTTGCACTTTATTGTAATAAAATTATTGATTTTATATAATTTTACATTTTTCAGTTACACATTATGTTAACAAAAAAATAAAAGAAATCCTTTTTGGTTGCATTGAGTTTTTTTTTATACCTTTTTTTTATACATATTCATTGATAATTACAAAAATATAACATTATTTTATTTTATTTCTTATTTTTTAATAATTTGTTGTGTACATATTAATTCCTTTTACAAACATTTAAAAGTGATAAATAAAAAATATCAATAAGGTGATTTTACTTTTTCTCCATTTATCTCCCAGTTATCACAATAAGTAAATTATACTTCATTCTCTTGTAATTTTAAGCTTTCTCAATTTATTCTCTATTTTTTTATGTCACTAAACCTTCCTGCTTTTGTTTTTCATGTCACTTAATCTTTCTGTAGTGCTTCTTTTTTGTATTAATTTAGCGCTCATATTAAAATGTATTGACCGAAAAAATATGTAGAAAACAAATTAAAAAGGCATGAAACTATAAAAGCGTAAAATGAAAATTTTCGTATAAAATTTTATTGTAAAAATAATTACTCGCATAAGAACAACATCACTGTTGGTAGAGTTACACACTAAAACACGTTTCATAATTGCTAGTTAATTGCATCCCCATGTACACACGGTGTGTCTACGCGAACTCTTAGTTGTCTCATAAAATCCATAATTTTGTGGTTGAAATGATTAATTAATCCATCTATTTCATTGATACAAGTAGAATAACAACTCTTATTTATATCATTGATTTGCATGGTCCGTTAGAGCTTCTCACTTTGAATTTCCAAAATAGTTGGCTTAACATAGACACCAAGCTGGTTTGGTTCTCTACAAAACAACATGAATTTTAGGTACAACATATATTGATGCAACAACTAGAGTAAAAAGGTGGAAGAATGGGCATTGATTTCGGATAGGCACTGCTGTACCATCTGAATGAAGCATTGTTAACATTTAGGCAGATCAACTGGTGGTGGAGGGAGTGAAGTTGAAGGAGTTGGTCCATTCTCAACTTCAAAAGCCATGTCTAGTCCCCATGGTACATGATCTTCCACGTGGCAATGCACAAACCATACCCCTAAAAAAGTGATGAAGATATATTAGAATTCGCTATTGTAATGAGCATGATAGACAGAGTTACATCTAATCAGTATTATATAGTAGTTAGTTGCATGACACATATTCACATGAATTTTCTTATGAAGGTGAACAAATGTAAATTATGCGAAGTATTCCATGCATAAACATAAAGGGTGAAATGACAAAATGTGAATTAAGTACCATTATTTTTTGTGTAGTAATGAACTAAAAAAAAAATTAACACCTGGGTTGTTTGCCTGGAATCTGATGACAGCCCATCCTCCCACAGGCACACCAATTGTGTTGCGTATCTGAGGATTCACCAAATTAAACTTTGGCATATCCATGGTAGCATTGAAATTTCCAAACCCTTGTGCCAAAACATGAAAACTAAAACCATGAATGTGCATGGGATGGTTCTGTGGACCAATAATTGCTGTATTTTGAAGCACAATCTCCACCTTTGAATTAAACTTGAGCTTCTTCGCCTTTGTTGATTTCGGTGCAAATAAAAGGTTCGGATTAAAACTAATATTGGGATTTGTAAAGTCAAACATAACTGGAGGGTTATTAGGAAAATCAGCAGTGTACACTCCTCTCACATTCTTAAAGAATGCTTCCAACATGGATAATCCTCTACCCCTAGGGATCACAAAGGACTCATTGTTCAGACTAGAAGAAAACCTCTGATTAAGTGGACCCTGACACGTGGCATTGGTGGCATTTTTTGGATCACATCTTTCTAGGTTCAATCCAACGGTAATGAACATGTGCTCATCAACCTTACGTGGCACAGGAACCCAATGTGGGCCCCCCACCTTGCTAGTTATGTTGCTGTAGAATCTATGAGCCGTTGCTGTGTCGTTGAAAGGTGGTAGAATTGGCATCACAGGATTTGATGATGATGGTGCACTGTCGTAAACGACAATGCCACGTGTTGTCGTGTTGTCGAAAAGAGGCACACCGACGCTGTAAGGTGATGCAGCCATGTAGTATGAACCTGCGGGTTGGTTTGCGGTGAATAGCACATCAACGGTTTGGCCAGGGGTGATAACGATGATGTCTGTGATGTAGTGGTCAGTGTATGCAGCATCAACGGCAACAACTGTGAAACTGTGATTTGCTATCTTGAAGAATAGATGGTTATTGAGTGCAGCGTTGATCATTCGTAGCATGTAGGTTTTTCCCTCCTTCACCTTCATCTTGAATGTCTCTGAATCGTGGTCAAAATATCACAAGTTATCTCGGAAGTTTAAACTTTTAAGTAAAGACTCCAAAATGATTCTAGGGTAAATTATACTTTATGTTGATGTAATTTAATGTTTGTTTTTAATTTATTTTTATACATTTTCATGTTAATATTTTTTTTGTATATTCCTTTTTTATCTCACTTAATTTTCTGTACTGCTCTTTTTTTTTCATATCACTTTACCCTTGTAAAAGAGTTTATTGGCAGAAATAGTATAGAAAGCAAAATTTAAAAAGGTATGAAACTATAACAAAATAAAATATAATTTATCTATAATTTTACAGTACACTAATAATATAGATTATAGACCTAAGATTCAAGAGCTTAAAAAGTTCAAATGTTGAAAAAGTGAACAAGAAAGATGGTTTCACTTGTTTATATAAGAAATTATGCGATGTAACGAAGTTGTTACATATCAATTAGCTAATATGAATGCTATATATGAACTGATATGCAAAGAGGTAACATACGATTCTGAGAACAATTGAAAAGATCGCCAGGCAAGCCGTTGATAGTGAAGGCATCAGATACTTTTGGAGGACCACCGGTGGCGAGTGCTTGGGTCTCAATGTCCACAACATTACCGTTATACCAATCACCTGCATTTAATCTATTTTAAAACTATTTTCATGAAAGATTTTTTGAAGTAATTAATAACTGGTTTTATAAATATATTTAGAGGATTGTATGAGCATGGCGCTGCAAATTATTGTCCTTAATTATACAGTTAGAAACTCTTATAAGATATTGTTGTAAAAACATTGCCTAAATCAAAGGTAATGTCTTAAACTATAACGGTGAAAAAATTATTGCTAAACGGTTGCCAAAAATAAAGATAATAGTTTTGTTAGTATAAAGTCGTTGTATTAGAACCAAAATGTTGCGAGTAAGGTTATTAATTATGAGTCCTCGTTTTAAAAAAAAAATAATTTTAAGAATTATTTTAAATAAAAATATTTTTAAATTTTTTATTTCTTAATTATGTCATATATTTTTTCTGCATTTAATAAATATTTATGTTTAATTTATTATTTATTTTAATTTTTTATAATTTCATTTTTATTTTTTAAAAAATTATCTCTTTAATTTTATCCTATTTAACAAAATAAAATATTCATTATCAATAATAAAATTATTTTTGAAAATTATATATTTATTTTGAATTTAAAAGTAATCATATATATATTTTTTGAATTTTTTCATTAAAAATATTTCATTTAATATAATACCCATAAAAAAAATACACAAGAAACTTATTCATTATATGAATGTGCTGAAAAATATAAGAAAGGAAGAAACAAACTTAACAAAAGAAAATACCTAGTATAATAGGAACTTGCTCGAAGGGTTTAGGAAACGGAAATTGGCCAGAACGAGGGTGAATGATGAAAGCACCGTGAACTGTGGCACGTAAAACTGATGCATGAGCATGCCACCATAAGGTTCCCTCTTGTCGTGTCACATTGAATTTATAGGTATAGTTATTTCTTGGACTAATTGTGCATTGAGTTACATATTCAGGACCATCTGCCCAAGCACTCAAGAGCTGAAACACTCCATGCCTATACGTATAGTTCAAATTTTCATAAACAATGAATCATTGATTTAAATGAAACACAATTTTAGGGACTTTGCAGACTAGAAGTTAATTTCACCTAAAAAATTAAGCTGTTCTTCGAGTCTAACAATGATTTTTATGTGTCTAATAACAACTACTGATTAAGCAACTGAAAGAGTTATATTGTTTACTTGAACCACAACAAACTGGTGTTTCTTACATAACATATTTTCACACACATACATTCTTAAAATTTAAATATACTTTTATTTCTCTAAATGTTTTGTTTTTTTTTATTTCATTTCTATATTTTAGAAATTTTAATTTTTACTATTTATTATTCTTTTCTTTTCAACGAAGTCCCTTTGTCATTTTTTTATTTATTAAATGTAATTTTTACTTACTCCTTGGTCTCTTAAAATATAATAAATATTTTATTTAATTCTTTTATTTCAATAGACATGAGACTTAAATGTAAAAAACAAAAATGGAAGACTTGCAACAAAAAGATTAAACAGAAGAAAATCTTTATGCAAATTAATTAAAATTCTTAAAAATAATATATATATATATATATATATATATATATATATATATATATTTCAATGGTGTTTTGGATGAGAGGGAAGTCCTAAATTCTATTATTCTGAGATCCTGGAAATAGTTATCACTTATTAGTAAAGGAGAAGCTATTATGTTAGCTGATTGGTATTTGAACTCACGAAATTGCATCTGTCTTAATTTTGCATAAGTATATTTTTATTTTTTATTTCTCTGAGTAAGTAATTTTTTATTTATATGGGTTTTGAGTTCCCCTTGAACTCTTTTTAATAAGATTTGTTTTGTCTATAAAAAAAAAAACATATATATATATATATATATATATATAAAGAATTACTAAAATTATATTTGAATCATATGTGTGAATCTAATTAATTTTAGATGGCTTTTCAGATTGGGTGGAATCAACCTAATCCATGGGATTAGTAGAGAAGAAAAACTCAATTACATAGTAATATAGTAATTACAAGCAAAGGTCATGAATTTGTGAAGAAGAATAAGTTTTCAGACACAAACATACGGAGGAGGGTTTACCAATGAATAGTGATATTGTAGGGTCCCTCGTTCAATAGATGGACAATTACAGTGTCCCCTTCGCGGACATGTATCTTTGGCCCAGGGAAAAGTCCATTAACTGTGACAATCACTTGCGCATTGCACAATCGTTTGATAGTCTTGTTTTGAACCTGCAATACATGAAGTAACAGTAATGTGAACACTCCTTCCATTCCTAGTATATTCCAATTAATGAATTTTATAAAAGTGTATATTAGATGGCAAATTTATGTCTCAAATATTTAATATAAGAAAGGGTAGACGCCAACAGCTAAGTGTACTAGAAATTGTTAGGTGAGAGAGTTGCGTAGTTTCGATATTCTAAAGGGGTGGTGTCGACTGGTGAACACATCAAAATAACAAAACAAAATGTAGGAACTAAGTTGCTTATAGAAACAAGCACAATATATTTAATCCCTCAGTTTTTTTATTTTTAGTCTTTAATTTTTCTAACTCGTGTATGGTTATTTAAAAAGTTGTCATGTATCAAATTTTTATAACAAATTAACAAGAAAAAATAAAATAAAAATAAATACTGAATTTAGAAAAACAAGAACTAAAATTAAAAAATATATATAATTGAAAAATCATAAACTTTTATCAAAACAAACGGCAATCAAGTGACGTAGCCAATTACTTTGAAAGTGTGTTCCACTGTAGCAGCTGAAGCAAAGGAAAAAGCTAGAAGAGAAAGAGCCCATGTTAGCAAAAACACGCAAAGCTTCATGTTTAAGAGGGGAAACCAGAGAAGTACGAAGATATAAGCTGTTATCTGAAATCAAAATGATAACATGAAAAGGTGTATTTGAATGTTTTAGTATGTGACTGGAATGTAAACCACAGCTTGTTTTCCTGTACCGACAACACGGGCTTCATATACATATATATAGTCAGGGTGAGATTTGACATTCTCTTTGCGTGTTAACTTGGAAACTAATCGCACAAGCAACTCCAATGAGATTTGAGTAGGCAAGGAAGCAAGATTAGCTTCCACAAAAAAGAAAGAAGAAGAAGAAGAAGCAAGATTAGCATTTTATGACTTTAAGTCAACGATAATGTGGAAATATCAAGTTATTGGTATGATAGGAAATGATCCTGTTGCCTTCAACAATAAATTTTTAGGATGAATATTTTAATGATACAAAGGAATGGTACCAGACCAAGCATAAGTAGAGTAACTATATATGCCCCATCCCCATTATTCCTATCTCATCAAAATGTAAGCCTAAGGTTCCTTTTCAATCTTTTTACATGTTCATTTTTTATATTCATTTTATTGTTTCTTTTATCATATTTCTTATTTTCTCTTCTCTATTTTTATTTCCCTCTTCTTTTTCTTTTTGTGTAAATACACCCCCATAGGTATACAAACTTTTTTTTCTTCCTTTTATGCACTTGGTATCTCTCTAGATTTTATTTTTTAAAAATAGTAACAACACATATTCTTACACATTTTTTTCCTAGAAAATATATATTATTAGTTGAAATTTATGTGAAATTTATTAAATGAAGTGAGACTTCAGCCTTATAATTAATGAGTCTTATAAAAATTTCATAATCAAGAGTATCCTAAGAAATATATTATAAAATATATTCCTAGTATTTTTCTTGCATTATAGTAATATTTAAAGTTTTGTACGAATAATAGTACGTTTTTATTTTTTTTTGTAATTAAGCTTGGTAATAAATTCAATAAAAAAGTATGCGTATGGAGTGTACTACAACAATGACAAATTGACGAAAACAATTTGGACCTAATTCTGTCTCTAAATTTAAATATAATTTTGTGTAATTCTGTATCTGAATTGTCTCTAAACGTAAGATATTTTTATTTGAATCATTAGTTATTTTGTCAATTTTATCTTTATATCATATCTAATTTAAATATAATTTTTTCATTTTATTTCTAAATTTAACAATTCACAAATATTTTTCAATAAATATTTTACACAGTTTAAAATAATTATATTTTATAATCATAATAATTAAATTTAAAGTAATACAAGTAAATAATTATTCAAAGCATAATACAATATAAGTACATGATATAATATAAAGTACTATTAAATTCAAAGTTCTAAAAGTATTGCTACAAGTAATATTCATGCTAAAATTAAGGTTGGGCTACTATGATCTTATGTATCCTCTTTACTCATTTTTTTTTATCGTTATGATTATCTTCTTATAAGTGATTATGTTGATTTATTATGCAACATAAGCCTTTGCTTCCATTTTTTTCATTTTATTTTTTGTTCAATATTTTTTTTGTTGAAGTTCATTAACAAGAGCTTAAACTATTGACTTCAACTAAGTAACCTCTTCTAATGAAACATCATCCATTGGAGTAAGAGATGATGCAGAAGATTTTACTAACTTCAATAGTTTTTGCAACTTCAATAGTTTTTTATCCCAATCCATAAATATGATTTTTATTACTAATGTACAAGTAAATGCTATTATCATATTGCTAAGAGTCGTTACCTTCACTACTTGACTTTCTCTCTTAGCAATTTGATTATACTACATTTTTTTAAAAGATTTAATTATGTTATAAAGTTTAAATTTACAAAATAAGGTAACTTGGACAATTATATCATATATACAATAATATTTTTTTTCTTTGCTAAACTATTCATTTGTCTTTCTCTTAGGCCCATGAAGTCCCTGATAAATTTTAAAACATGTTGGTTCTTTATTCAGTTGCACCTTTTGAAAGAATAAAAAAAAATGTGGAGTATAAATTTTACTAGACAATGATGAATTAGATAGAGTGTACTACCATTCTTTTAGCATGTTCTTTTCTGAATATAGACCATCCACTATGTACATTATGCCTCTCTTTGGCATACCTATTTCCCTTGGCTTTTTTGGCTTATCATTCCAATCATTAGCTTCCCAATGAGCCCTCAATTGCTCCAACTTATCTGACTAAATCTAATCATCATTAACCATACCATCATAGACCTTGTACATAGTATTTTTTAGTACATAATATTATTTACTCTTGAAACACCTCTTGATGTTATTCTCATTTTGATCCAATCACTTGTAATTTGCCTGCATTAAATAATCTATCAATTAGATTATTTAACATCATATTATATAATTACATAATTTTATGCTAATGAATATATAAACACTACTAAGAATATAAAAAAAATACCCTAAATTCTTCATATCATATATCAGTTGCGGTATCATTCACTTTTTCTTAACTTGACTAAGTCCCTTTTAACTTTCTTTTGAAGATATTTGAAATAGCACACTTTACTTTGTAGTTAGGGTAAAAGTTGAAGAAAAATAATTTAATAATTACAATATATACATAAATAATATATAGATAGACATATTTAAAGTGAACTAAACAACTAAAACTATTTATTTTTTAGTGTTGACTTGATCCAAAATTATTCATTTATATTTTTTTGTACCCCACCTAATATTTTGTGGTATCAAGAATTCTCATTCAAAAAGATTTATTGACACGTGTAGATGTCTCAACATGAGAAGGAGAAAATGGACTAACTATAGGATTAGTTTAGGAATGAAAAGTATTAGGTGTAGGATCAATTTAAAAATTAAGAGATTAAATATATTGAGGTTTAGTTTGAGAATTAGGTGATGAATCATGTGGATGGTTACATTGGAAATTAAGAGATAGATTATGTGTATGTTTGATCTAAAAATAGAGTGATGTAATGCATGAAACGTCAATTTGTATACTTTTTAATAAATTTTATTGTACGATCTTTCAATTTTATTGTTAGTTCTATTAGTTAACATTGTTTACTTAAAAATCTTGAATAAAATTAAATAAGTTAAATGAGAGAACTTTCTTTTGTAAAGGTTGTATAGTAGTACAAAAACATCAATTTTTTTATTGAAAAGTATTGTAATGCATTAGAAGCTTTTATTAGCATGACTTTTTACTTGACAACTAATAAGAAGGCGTGAGTGCTGGATAATAGACGATTTGATATGAATCAATGAGTGTGAAAAATTCTTTGAAAAAGATAATTATTTTCATGGGAGGAGGATTTACAACAATTGTAAAAAACTATGAAAGATAAGAAGTCGAAAAAAATGTAAATAACATGTTACCGTGGAAGTATGATGGTAACAAGAAATATAATGTGCAATCCACTTTTCACTATATTTATCATTTCTTCATTGTAGGTAGCGGTTTGGATTTGGGTCTAGTGGAGGCCTTACACAAGATTTGTAAGGTCAATGGACCAAGGAAGGTAATGGTATTTGTTCGACGTCTAGTGTTTAATGCAGTCTCGATGCGGAAGAACTTGACCAAACGTGGATTGACGAGTTTCTTGAAAGTTTGTGGATTGTGTGATACTAAAGATAAGAACATATTGCATCTTTTTTTGTATTATAGTGTTTCTATGAAATTATAGTACATGGTGTTTAAATGGTTTGATATCAATTGATGTTTACTTAGAAATTTGTATGAGACATTATTAAGCATATGTGAAATCTAATGTAAAAAAAAATGGAAGGGAGTTGTAATTATATGATTTGTGATAATATAGAAAATTTGGTTTCAGGAAATAATATTCTCTTCATTAATAGTGTGTTAAATGCTAGTGAAATATTTGATTCTATTAAATACTGTTCTTGGAAGTGACTTGCAACAGGGTTTATAGGAAGATTAATTGGATTAATGACCCCTTAACATGTATTTTTAATTTTCTTTAGATTTGTAACGGGTTATAATACCTCTTTTACTTTAAATTTATCTTTAATAAAACGTTGATGTTTAACAAAAAAAAAAAAAGAATATATAGAGTTAATAATTATTTATATAATTTTATTTTAATTAATTTAAAACTATAATAAAACAAAAAATATATATAATTCCAAACGGTTTGTATATAGAATTTTTAGTGTTTATGATAATTTAATATCATGTGATTTATAGAAGCAAGCTTTAATTAATATATTGGTTTTTTTAATGTGTACTTGGTTTTTTATTAAGAAAAAGTCTAAGAAGATATTTGTAAAAAAATAATTAGTCACTTTTTACGTATTTAGGAATCCCTGTTCAAAATATCAAATATTATTAATCTCTAATTTCATGGCAATATTATGTCACCAGTTTCTTTTTACTAAGTTAAAATACGTAAAATTTAAGAAAAAAATTATATTCTATTTTAAGTAAAGGAAAGCTTTCAAACTTAAGATGTGTTTATATAATTCTTTAATTTACCTCACTTTGTTGAGACTAATAAGGACTCTGTTTCTACTGGACCATGTAGGTTATCGGTATGAAATTGTTACATATAATTGGAATGGAATGAGAATTGACATGTCCTTCTCATTAGACCATTGTAAGCACAGATTATAAATGATTTGTATTTTGTAGCCTGGCTTGAGACAAAATGGGAGCAATAACAGTGAGTTCATTCGAATATAATAAAATTAGCATGGCGTGCAATACTTGTCTAGAGACAACTTTTGAACAAGTTTGTCTCATATCACATCAATATTAAAATTTCTCAAAGTATAAAAAATGGATAATATCATGTTTAAGCTCATTATTCATTTTAATATATCTATAAAAAAAATTATTTTAATATAGTTATTAAATTTCTGATGAAATTTAATAAAATACATTTTTAAATTTATTTTAATAAATTTATAATTGAATGTATTGCATAAATTTTCGTATGATATAACTGTATTTAGTAAGTAATTAGCTAAGTGATATATTAA